AGTTCGTTCGGGTTTTTTCTGACCATTTTATGGAACACTCGAACAAACTTTTTGGCCACCCCAATACACAGCTTTTTTGAACAGGAACTGCTATATGATGTTCTTAAGCCATTTTTTCTTCATTTTCAAATTAACTCCAGGTATCTAAGGGCCTCTTCAAAGCAGTACTTGGCTGGATTAATTTAGACTGGCTAATGCATATATATAAAAGTTGTTTCCTAGTTGTTAAAAGCTTATTTTATAATTTAGACTTAGCTGATTTAGACTGGCTTTGCATCAGAATAAACAAAATGTATTTTATCAACTTAAAAATAAATAAATAAATAAACTGGTCACCTGTCACTCCCTCCCTATTTTTTTCCTCAGAGCACTTAGCATCCCCTGACTACTGCATATTCCCAAGTTTATAGACGTTCTCCTAGAACGTCACATCACTGCTGTGTCCCCAGCACTTCCATCCCACGCACATGGGAGATGCTGGACGAGTATGTGCAACAAATGCGACAAGAGCAGACACTGGTAGGGTCTTGCGGAAGAAAAGGGTGAATGAGAGGGACTCAGGGGTCTGTTTGGACTCGATGGGCCGGGTTCTTCCTCACCTAGCTGGCCCTCGACCAGCCTCCTCTTCGCGGCTCTCCTCGCCTTGCTGCTGCTCCTGGCTCTCTCCCAACAGCTGTGGCTCCTGGTCCTTGCACTCTATCTGGGGCATGTCCACCTGTGAGCACGGCCAGCGCTTGAGAGGTCGAGGGAGGGCGAGAAGTAGTCAGATCCCCCTGCTCCCGCCCCGTCAACCCTGGGCACCTCTGTCTGCCGATGCGGCATGTTGGGGACCCGCAGAAGAGACGGGGGGTGCTGCGACGGGCACCACGAGGACCGCGGGGATCCTGTGCCTGGAGCACAGGAGGACTGAGGTGGGGAGACCTGAAGGGGCCGGGGTGAGGACAGGTGCTCCGGATGGGGTGCTGGGGGGCCTGGGCTAACTGGTGTGCGAGTCGGCTCAAGGCCTTCAAGGAGGGAAAGAGGTAGGAGAAAAAGAAGAAGAAAAACGGGTGAGGCGCGTGGATGTCTGGGTCTCTCTCTACCCTACTCCTGCCACTCGCCATGCGTGGAAGTCGGTCCTGCCTGGGCTGTCAGTGCGTCAGTCACACAATCAGTCGGTTAGTCAGGGCCCGGTAGGTCAGTCAGGAAATCGGAGCCCAGTCGGGCGAGGAGGGGCCGCGATGGCAGGAGACAAACGGCAGGGCTCTGGTTCGTCGGGGAAGCCCAAGATCGCTGCCATTCCCTGCCCGTCCGCCCGCCGCCCGCCGCCCGCGCGAAGGAAACAAGCGCAGCGTACTCCCTGCCGCTCCATTCCGTCTTTTCCCGCCTTCTTGTTCGCGCCCTCTGCGCACGCGCCTCCCCCGCCCCCGGAATGCCCCGCCCCCAAGATGGGCAGCGGTGCGCACTCCTGGCCCCGCCTCTTTCTGGGAACTTGCGCGCGCAGCGGGGCGGGGGCGGCCGTTAAGTGGCGGTTGGGCTGTCTAGGGGCTGCGCGCGCAGCCGTCACCGCCGGGAGGAGCCTGTGGTCTCTGAGCGCGCGTGTGCGCATGTGTGAGGTTCCAGGGCCCAAGGTCAGTAGGGGAATGGTGAGAACCGTTCATCTGCTCTGCCCGGAGGTCTTTCCAACAAAAAATTCTGACCTTTGCTGTCCCTTGATTACGACCTATTGCCCTCAGTGAGAAGGTTTATGCAGTTACCACCTTGAATCAGTTACCTGCACTCCAAAACCAGAAGCTCCTTGAAAGCATGGGGGCCTGGCCCTTAAGGGTTGGGCCCATACCCCTTAATAATAAGAGTAGTAATAACAGTAATGAATTAATAGTGACAACAGTAATAGTAATTGGCACACAAGGAGCCACAGACTGAGAGAAAGTATTTAACTTGTATCCAGTATCTACAAAGACCTCTTGCAACTCAGTGAGACAGAAAAACCCCAGTTAAAAAATGGGCAAAGGGGTCTTCCGTGGTGGTGCAGTGGTTGAGAGTCCGCCTGCCGATGCAGGGGACACAGGTTCGTGTCCCGGTCCGGAAAGATCCCACATGCCGCGGAGCAGCTGGGTCCGTGAGCCATGGCCGCTGAGCCTGCGCATCCGGAGCCTGTGCTCCGCAACGGGAGAGGCCACCAACAGTGAGAGGCCCGCGTACCGGAAAAAAAAAAAAAAAAAAAGGCAAAGGATTTGAAATGGTTGGCCAAAGGCCCTGAGGTCTGAGCAAGCTCAGTGCCTTTGAGGGGTATCCAGGCCTGGTGGCGCGAGCAGGGCTGGGGGGAAACAGTGGGTGAAGGATGAAGGGTTGGGACTTCGTCCCAACTGACTGGGAAGGAGATGGAGCTCCTTTTCGGGACACCTGTCACATTGCTCACAAAAGGGAGACAGTGGGAATCTGCTCACATCGCTCAGCCCTTCTGTGCAGGGCTCTGTCCCTGGCCACACACTAGAGCACACACCTTAACACCTACGTTCTGGAGAACTGGGTTTCAATCTGGGCTCTTACCAGTGGGGGTGATCATTAAACTGCCACTCACTCTCAAAACCCATCTTTGTCCAATAGCAAGGTGATAAAATCTAAAACATGAGACTATTATAAGGGTTTCAGGGATAAACATTTGGAACACATTAAGAGTTTAATAAACAGTGGCTAACAGTATCGTGTGGCAAAGCTACAAGTTACGTGAGATGCATCTTCCTGCAGCATCAGATTTAAAGATTTGAGGATTATCTACTGGGAAAAATCTCACTTTTTTTTTTTTTTGGTACGCAGGCCTCTCACTGCTGTGGCCTTTCCCGTTGCGGAGCACAGTCTCCGGACGCGCAGGCTCAGCGGCCACGGCTCACGGGCCCAGCCGCTCCGCG